AAAGTTTACGTGAGCTTTTCATACCCAAAATCAAAACAGCAGACGATCGCTCTTTCCCAGTCCTTCACAACAAACCACCATGACTGACGTGAGTGCTCCGTAGAAAAGCCATCTAAAATCTTACTTCATCGGCTGCATGAGTTTATATAAATGGAAATGAGATGTATTATATGATAGATTAATTGTTGGAAGTGTTATTGGCAGTTATTAAAACGAAATTGCACCGATAATCACGCAAGAGATGAAACGAAACGAAGCTCGGCTGTGTTGGGCTGACATGTTGTGTTTACTCTTTTGCAGGCGGATGTTCAAGCCCAGATCGAGGCGCGCAAGAAGCGTATCTTCAGGAAGTTCACCTACCGCGGTGTGGACCTCGACCAGCTCCTTGATATGAGCAAGTAAGGAACAATACAAATTCGTGAAAGGTAGTCCTAGATCGGGGGCACCGTGGAGCAAGAATTGTGTGGCCTTCCCCATGCCGGGTAGCTTGGCTTTTTAAATTTGTGTAGGGTTTACTGGAAGGAGGATTGTAAACGTTAGAAACAGAAAATTGAATAGGAAAGTGGTTTTGCGAGATATTTAGGTAGTTTTGAAAAGTCAGAAGAGGGTCATATCATGGGAGACTTGTCCCCAACACGAGTGGAAGAATGAATTGAAAGAAAATATCCTTTTCCCACATACTACCTCTTAACTTCGCAGCATGAATCAAGATATGCTAATTTTAGTTTGTTACTCAACTTTACCATCATTGGTAATAATTTGCAATACCTTCGCATGGTTGATTGTGGTGACTGATATTGGATTCCTTCCACCCTCCTCGTGCTCTTGGCCCTGATAGCAGGGAGAGCGTGAAAGGTATCGGGGAAATTACAGGGTAAACTGACATTATGATAATGTAACTGAGATCATACCCTGCTATGCAGCTGAATGCAGAGGCAGACTTGGCATCAGGTGTTTCTGTGTGTTGGTAGTATGCTCAACCCTACCTAGAATATGTGGAGTAACTTTACTTTTAGTGTTGGGATGGCAGTCTCCCCAGGAGGGGGGTTGCGATATTAAAAATAGTGAGTGATTGTGAATATTCATTTTTTGTCTTGCTATTTCCTTGGTACCTCACATGCCCTCCTCTGCTGTTGGGGCCAAGATTGTCACTGACGTAAGGGTTTCCTTGGAATTTTATGTATTTAGAAATGTGAAAAGAATCCTTACAAACTGAGATCAAACTTTGGCAATGTGAAGGTATTCTGAAGGTATTAAATTGTCGAGGTAAAACCATAGAAGTAAAGTTTGTTTTTGTTCACACTGTCCAATAAATATAAAATATTTCTTCTAATAGAAGGCTGTGTGGAACTGAAACTATTCCAATAAAAATCCAAACAAAACCTTCCCTACCTTCTATTTATTTCCAAGATGGGGCATACCCACTCTTTGATAACACTTAATGCAAACTTGGGTAGAGGTTACGGACAACGCGCGTAGATAGAGAGAAATGGACACCGCCATGTTATAGAGCGGAAAACATAGTGGGATGGAACATAGTATAAGTTGTGCTAGACTTATATTTATCGTTAAATGGAAAAAAACGGCGGCGCTATGTGCCACGCAGAGACGAAATCGAAATTGACCTTCGCAAGTTGATAATAAGATTACGTAATACTTAGGTATACACATGTGCGAAAGTGTAAGATAATATCATAAATGGGAAAATACTCAGATACATGAAGTAATCTACTAAGGAAAATGTTAGTTTAAGAAAATATGATGCTTCAAATGCCATTTGGAGAACAAGTACATGGTGATTGGGGCCAGAGCCTCTGATAGGGAAATATGGTACTGGGATGGGAGTCTGGAACAAAGCTCTTGGGTTAGGATTTTTTTTTTTATTCATAAGGCAGTTTGAATTTCTTATGAATGGGTGGAGTAATAGGGACTTATCTCAGGGGGAAGGTCACTTAATACATGTTGCCAATACTTTCATGTATACCATTTGTGATGGACAATAGATTCATGCATATTAGTGTAGATAATAGAAAGAAAGAATGGTAATTGCAAGATTGGATGGCTGTGAAACTATAAAGAATTACCCTTTGTCCTCTCTGCTTTTACTGTTCTTGTCTACAGATAATTTCTTATACCAAAGACTGCAGCTTTTTCTCCACTGCATGAATATCATTATTTACTCAGCGTAGTGTATCTTTACCATAAAGATTAATGTATTAAACATTGTGTCTTATAGAAATGTGGTCATAAGATGCTGATTAAGGTGACTTTTTTTCCCATGTAGATTTTGAAATTTTACCCCTTTTAGACCTTAGTGAGATCTGAGTTGGAATTTTTTATCACCCAAAAAGTTCAAGTAAAAAAAAAAAAAAAAAAATCCCACGTTTGAAAATTGTTTCAAAAACTAAAAATCCAGAAAAAATAAAGCAGTCATTCTGATGTGATCTTTGAACAGAATCGTCCTAAATCTAGTGTTTATCTGAAACCCTTAATTTATCAGTTGGCTACAAAGTGATCCATGAAATGTTTATTTTGGTATAAAATTTAGTGTGCTACAGCTCGTGAAGGTAGTGTTTCGAGGTATCCTCTGCATATTACTGCTCAGACTAAAGCCACAAAAGCCTCAGACAGCCAAATTTCTTATATCATGTTTTCTGTAAGTTGGTGTAAAGTGTTAATAAAAAGGGGTACAGGGGGGTTTGCCTCCTGTTTAGGGAATGAATAGAAGGTAGGGAAGGGTAGGTTTATATTTTCATAATGCACCAGATGGGCAGGGGGGGGGGAGATAATTGCATATATTTTTTTAGTAGGCTAATAATGCAAATCACCGAAATAGTATGCTGTTTATTGGATGTTTGTTAGTGTAGGGCTGCTTTACTGTATATGATTATAAATTATTTAATGTAATATTGTAGATTTGTACTGTATTTGAGAAATCTTAGCAAGCAGTTTTAAAGCTGAAGAGATATTTGAAGTTGTACATGTCTTGAGTAAACATCCTGATTCAGGAGCAAAAATATGGTATAAATGGCAGTGGTGTACAAGCTTAGGCTTCTACTAATTTTGTCATGCATTGAGTGGACTGGTACCTTGCTTGGAATTAATTAGCTGTAGGAAAAATGCTGCTAAGTATAGGAGCCCTTGCATTTTATTATTGCCAAAAACCTCACCAATCTGCTTCTATGGGACACTGAAAATATGCCTTGGTGTATTTGGTGTGTAAATGGAAATGCAACATCTATTTTGATGTATCTGTTTCTAACAATTTGACATGATGAAATTTGGATGTCTAAATTACAGTATAGTTTTTCATTTACTTGAGGAATTTGCTTGTTATAACTTAGAAAAGCTACACATTACTTAGCAAAGTATACTTTGTCCAATGTCCATTGAAACTAATTCAATTTGTGATCCTGGTCCTGATAGCTAGGACATCTGTGAAATGTACTAGGGAAATTGTAGGGTAAACAGGCTGATGATATTGAGGTCCTATAATTCATGTAAGATTTCCCTTGTACCCTGTAAAACTTTTCCCCACTCTTGCAAGTCATCAATCCTGCTGAATTCTAATCTTTATTTTCCTGCAGCAGACAATTAATTCCTGATTTTTTTTGTACTAATTGTATAACTACATAGGTTTTTAAAAACTTTCAAGTATTTGTAGATTGAATGAGAACAAAGTATTTTCAAATCTGACCCATTGAAGTTATTATTTGTGTAAAGACAACCTTCTGAATGTATGGAAAAATGCTCTGGGATCTAAATTTGACAAGGATCTGGAAGCAAAACAAGTAATATTAAGGTCTGGAATCAGATTTTTTCAATCAAGGAATAATGTAGTCAATGTGTGTACTATAACCTTGATATTTGTTGAATTTAAAGATTTTCATAACCTACTCAGCATGTATTTTTTGTTAATTTATGATTTTTAAAATATAATCACTGTTAGCATGTGTTATTAGCTGTACAATAACACATGCTGATATACATTTTGGCAGACACTGCTAGTAGACAATGGTTCCAAGCAATAACTTATTCTCCATTTCAGTGAGCAGCTGGTTGAATTGTTCCCAGCCCGCCAGCGCCGTCGCTTCCGTCGTGGACTCAAGCGCAAGCACCTGGCTCTTCTGAAGAGGCTCCGCAAGGCTAAGAAGGAGTGCCCTGCTCTTGAGAAGCCTGCTGTTGTCAAGACTCATTTGAGAGACATGATTATTGTGCCAGAGATGGTCGGTTCCATGGTGGGAGTCTACAACGGCAAGACCTTCAACCAGGTGGAAATCAAGGTGAGCTCCTTTTGCTATCTCCCCAACCCCCTCAGAAACTTCAGTACATGATTTATTAGGTGTGCTTTTACTCTGCAGACATATTCAAAATCGGTTTTGCATGTGGTGCTGTTATTGGCGCTTTGAGACTTTATTTTTGTCTTTTTGAAGTTGAAATAAGAAAATTGATCTGAGCTGAACATTATATTTTCACCCAAAATTACCAAAAGTTCAATTATATGAATTCTATTGTTTGCATGAGTTTTACCAGTTTTTACACCCCAAGTTTTCTTATTCTAGCCTGAGATGATCAGTCACTACTTGGCAGAATTCTCCATCACCTACAAGCCTGTAAAGCACGGTAGGCCCGGTATTGGTGCCACCCACAGCTCTCGGTTCATCCCTCTGAAGTAAACTATATTAAACAAGCGGTGTTTATTTTTGGTGTTTTATTCCTTCAGGGAAAACCTCCATTCTTGACCTCAATGGAATAAGAACATAGTGCAGTAAAGTGCTGCTGAAGAATCAGTATTTTTTTATATTTTTTTATATGTAACTCAGAATTTTGAGATGCCATTAATGGCAGGAACACTACTGGCTGATGATGTGGGTCAACCAAATCTTAAAATGATGTGTTTGAGTAAATCAGTTGTACCTATTACCCAACACAATTTTGTTGATGAGGTGCCTGTGACTTTCCACTGGCTTTGTAACATATATCTTCATAAGGCAACCCCAACCCAATCCCTTGCTAGTTTTTAGCGTGAGGAAGGAGACAGGGTTAATGCAGGGATCTTTTCTTCATACTACCTCTCTACACTAAATTTTGAGAGCTGTTAAAAGGAAGGCTGTGACTGGCTTTATCCTTAACAGCCTAAGGAAGCCATGGGTATGTTATTCCTTTGGTTAATTGCTTAACCCCTTACCCCCATACGAGGACCCAGAGGGTTAAACTGATTTTCCCCATTAATTTCAAGATCGCCATGGCCAAAAGTAAAGATTTACCTTTACTAGAGGCTCACCCCTTCATCACCTAGCCAATCTAAATTAAATTTCGCTTGGTTCTTTACCCCTACCTCTGACCACAGCTCAGACCATTGAGGCTAAAACCTCTGACTGCTTTCAACTCTCCATTTTGAATTATCCACCAAGGTCATAACTCAACCTTCAGAAAATACCCCTTCCTCTCCCAATACCCTCCCCCTTCATCGCCTACTGGAGTGTCTTCTTTGTCTACCCTCTCACCTATTAATACTAGTCATCCTTATTGTCGTCGTCATAGTACTACCTCGCTCCACACTGCCCATCTTCCTCTTGCTATTGTCCTACTGTTTCCACCTCTGCAAAACTTTTGAGTACTCTTTTTGGGCCAGCCAAGTGGGACGATTCTTTGATTACCCTCACAGCTCCTTACCCTTCCCTTCCAAGAATGTCTCCAAAAACAAGTAGGCAAAATTTCCATTCGTAGTTCTGATTGTTCACGCCTTGACAGTTATATTTGAATGTCCATCTGTCTACCCCGATTGACCTCACTGGCAAACCTATACCTGCCCAGCCTCACTTCCTCGAAACGGAACTGCTTTCGTCTCCCCAACTGATTGTCTTATCTACAAATACTGGTCAGACTGCGAAAAAGACGTGCTTGCCTGCCTCGTTGAGTATAATGCAGTGGCTATAGTGTGTCATGCTGACTTCTGAGTATAATAGATTAAATCCCTCATCAATATTGCGAAGATTAGCCTTCATAGACATGCCAATCTAGAGAAAGCATTTGAAACAACATTGCAGCACCATGTCCAACAACTAAATACCTATGGCCAGCACAATCCCTTGCTGGTTGTCGTGGGAGGGGAGGGGGGGCTTAGGAGACGTACACTGAGGCCCAAAGTAGGGATTACTCCTACCTTAGACCTCTGTCCTTGCCTCAACTATGATATTGCATGGTGTTTTCTTCCCTTAACTTTATTTTTCTTCGTCCCCTTTCCAGAACTATGCACTCCTTCTTGCCTTAAGATGCATATACTCATCCTCCTCTTCCTCTTTTACTATTTTTAATGACTAACGTAACTCTTTAACCCTCAAAGTCTATGCACTCGACCTATCCCCTTGTCTGTAAGATCCAGAACTGGTTGTTCTATCCACACGTCACAAATCTGTCAGATTTTGCTGGGTACCCAGCCATGTTGGAATCCCTGGCAATGAACAGGCAGATACTCTTGCATGCTATGCCGCAATGTCCACATCACCTCAACTACGCTTCTCACATATTCCAGCTATGGATAATTACCCCCACTTTAAAACCTTGTATACCCGATGGCAATCTTTTTGGTCAAGACTCCACAACAATAAATTTCTTACCGTAAAATCATCAATCTCACAATTTCACAAAAACACATTGGGAGACGGCTCTCGCACGCTTACGTATTGGCCACATTCGCCTAACACGCCTATCTAATGTCACGCTCAGACCCACCCCTATGTCGTCTATGTAACGTTCCTCTTTCAGTCCCACACATTCTCTTGTCCTGTCCACGCTTTAATACGGCACGTACCTCTGCATTTCCACACCTATCCTCCCTTCACCGACCTCCCAACATATCAGACATCCTTACAGAATCCCACAGCTTCTGCCTTGACAACCTGTTCTCCTTCCTCAGATGCATAAATATCCTTAACTTGATCTAACTCCCTTACCTAAACCACCATAACCTTTTCCCAACCTTTTAATACTACTATAGAATGAGTATCAACCTAACATTTACTATATTAATATAGTGCTATGGATCTAGCCATAGATGTCTAGCACATTTATCTTATCCATTAACCATCGTACCCTTTCCATATCCTAAAGCATGAGACTCGGGCGTTAAGGATGAAAGACTGGCTTTGTATCAATCCTGAACGGCCTTCATACTCTGCCATTTTGCTTTCTATTCTTTTAATTAACCTACCTACCTAATCCCCCCCAATCCCTTGCTCGTTTTTGTAGTAGGGGGGAAAGCTCGGAGACAGACTGAGGACCAATGTTAGGGATCATCCCTACATTATTATTAAGGTATATAAAGAGCTACACAGCTAAAATCAAGAATTATGCCACTAAAGGTGTCGTTACAAGGCAAGGCTAAGTTAAGAAGGAATGAGAAGATAGAAAATCATCGGCTATTTGCATAGTAAAAACATATTAGTTGATCCTTACATTACAATCTCGGATGGCAATCTATTTCAGTCTACAGATGGCAGCAAAAAAATAGAAAACTGAGATGATTGACTAGCATCAAATGTCTTTGAATGGAATCATCTACACAGCAAAAAATAGAAAAATAGAGATGGACTATTCAAATGTCTTTGAATGGAGTCATAGAACCAGTAACTCTTGCATACCTATTCACAAGATATTTTGTTATTTACAATTACGTATAATGGCAACAATAGTGCGAATGACAAATACATTATAGTGTACGTTGATTAATGTATTAGTTTCCCCATATATACCACCTGACACGAACCATTTTCAATTGTAGTACGGAACTGTGTGGATAGTCAAGTAATAAAAATGAATTAATTTTAAGTTTCAAGCATGTTACGAACGGATATCATTTACCATCATAAAAGAATGCAATATACAAAAAGATTACTAACATTTACACTACACAGTTTAAGTTGGTGAAACCTAAAACCACTTTCCCCCCAATCCCTTGCCCGTTGTTGTCGTGGGGGGGGCTTAGGAGACGAAGACTGAGACCCAATACAGGGATCTCCCCTGCCTAGGGCCTCAGCCTTCGACTCAACTAATTTTGCATGGTCTTTTCCCTCTCCAGCTTTCGTTTCTGTCTTCTCCATCCCCTTCTACTATCTACTTCCTAAGGTGTGAGAGCCGTGCTGAAAGGATGAAAGGCTGACCTAGTGCCAGTCCTGAACGGCCTGCGGGAACTATGGGCACGGTACTCCCGACTAATCTAGCCCTTACCATCAGTAGCGATAGGAGGTGGACTGCTTAGGCCTTTTTAAATAATCCAGGTTCCCCATGACCAGTAATGAAAATGTAATCCCTTTATTAGAGGCAATGAGGCTAGCCCCTTTATCAAATAGCCCCAACCCAGGTTCTCCTTTGACCACGGCTCCGAACACTGAAACTGCTACCCACTCCTCAATGCCTACTAGTGCATTACCAACCCAAGCAGAGAATCAGTCTCCAGAAGACATTCCTACCCACCGAACTTCCTCAAATTCATCAAGCAACCAATCCTCCCTTATTACTACCTTGCAGCCTTATTCTCCATCATTCCGTAATACTCCCTCTTCCACACGTCCCCGACCATCCACCACCTCTAACCCTACAGATATCTTAAATACTCTGTTTAGCCCAGCTAAATGGGACCGATTTTTCGTGATCCCTTCTACAGCCCCTTACTCAGGCAACACCCTTCTCTTTCAACAATGGCTCCAAAAACAAGTAGGCAGAGTCCCTTTCTATACCAGACGCAATTGCTCCCGTCTTGTAACAGTCAGATCAGAAACTGAATCTATAGTACTAACAAATTTAACTGATCATTCTGGCAACCCCATTCCTTCAGAACCTCATCCAACTCTTAATACCGGAACTGTCTCTCCAGCAAACTGCCCAGTCGATACCAAAGATTGGTCAGACTGTGGAGAAGACTTATTAGGATGCCTCAAAGACTGCAGAACCTCATCCAACCCTTAATACCTATACCGGAACTGTCTCTCTCTCCCCAGCAAACTGCCCAGTCGATACCAAAGATTGGTCAGACTGTGGTCAGTACATTGCTACACCATTCCTCCTAAAGGTCAACAAAAGAATCCGACCAACATTGCCAAAATTACCTTTCGTACACATGACCTTCCCTTATGTATCTACATCAGTGGACAATCCCCCCCTGTTCGACCATACTAACCCCCTCCCAGTCAATGTCAAAACTGTTGGCGCTTTGGACATCCTGTCAAACATTGCCGTTCCACAGACCGATGCCCCATATGTGCCCAACCTGGTCATAATCGATCAAACTGCTCAGCACAAACACGAACATGTGCTAACTGCGGCGGCCCCCATAATGTATTTTATAGAGGCTGTCCCACTTACAAGTTTGAATCTGAGGTAGCAACTCTCAGATACAAAAATGGTCTCACTTTACGTGAAGCCAGAGAGGAAGCATGTCGACAAGGATTCTCTCATACTTCATACTCTAGTAACATTGTTCGCTCAGCCCCTTCCCCTCCACCCCATGATGTCCCCATTTCCACTTCTACATTCTACATCCCACAGACCAATTCCTTTGCCACTCTAAACCCAGACACCCCAATCTCAACCACAGCTTCAATCTCAACTACAGCCCCAACACCAACCCCTCTCCCTCCCCGCACTACCCGCAGTAGACAGACTAAATGTTCTAACCCTTCTTCCCCTACAGCACAATCAC